CTGCCTGATTTTGGAAGGAAAACAACTTTTGCTAGCTTGAAGCAGGAAAGATGATGTTCGAAATGCATGCACGCGCGGAAAAGATGTGTGACATGGTCTCCGACATGGCTCCAGGAGGCAGCAAGGAGTTCTGTGGAGATGCCATCAGCTCCAGGGCAAGAACCACCTTTTCCTATTGTACAGCTTTGGACTTCAGACTCGGATATTTCTTCCTTCCATGTGATTCGTGAATCTCCAGGCTGGTTACAAGGGGTCAGATCATCGGTGACTTGGTGCCGTGAAAGAAGGCGATCACGCAGGATACCTGCACGCTCAGCCTGATCAGAGATGAATCGACCTTCATGTAAAAGAGGTGGCGGAGTTTTCGCGTGCTTCGGAGAACCCCATTATAGGAGCTGACAGGTTTCGGGTAAAGACTTAACTCCTTCCACTCGGCTTTTCCAATTGCTTCTTCTCGCAGCTGCTACAACTTTTCTAAAGTGCTTTACATTATTAGATCGTTCAAATTCTGTGAGTGAGCCATTATACTTGAAATGAGCGGCCTTGCAATCTAGAGTCCACTAGGGTCCTGACCTGCCTTTTTCTGGGCTCAGTCGTCTACCAACAGCCTTTATTGCTTCCTTAAATGCCCTGCAAAGTTCCTCGGCAACTCCCTCTGTTTCTTCTACCGAAGTAAGCGGTGCTGATGGTGGTTCCCAGCGGGAGACTATCAGGGCAATATGGAGTAGCTGGTCTTTGGGGACTGGAAGTGGGCCTCTTACCGTGGCTTCAGGTTGCTTTTGGTTGAGAACTGAGCCTAAGATTGGAAGGTGGTCGCTGGTGATACATTCTTGTCGATCAACCCAAGCACAGGTTCCGTTAATATTTGACCATGCTAGGTCAAGAGTATTCCGGCTCGATGCGTTGCCTCGCCAATAATAAGGCAGGAGAGATTGTGAGTCTCTGCCCACTTCTCAATCTCATCGCCTTGTCCATATGTGTGTACTGCACTTGGTTGCCAGGCCCGATGAACCGAGTTGAAGTCGCCTGCAACAACGATGCGAGCAGATGGAACCCATTCGAGAAGGGGTTGAGCCGCTTTTGGATCGTGGGGGGCTTTGTACACATTGACGAATGTTGTGTTGTTTACCTCAACCCAGCAATAGTCGCTAATTGGAGTGGCCGAAGGAAGTTTTTGAATGGCTTGAATTTGCTTGGCATTTTTCCTAGTGTATGTGATTGCATGAGGACGAATGCTTATGCCATTGTGCGGTATGTGGACATTGAAATAGGGATGTGCCTTAGTATTCCCATGCCACCATGGCTCTTGTGTAGGCAAGACATCTAGTTGAAGCTCACAGGCACGGTTTAGCGCGATACCGTGTGTTGTTCCCCCTCTTCCAACATTAATTGACTTATATCGAAGAATTAGTTGGTCGCGCTTCATAATCGTCTTGCATCACCTGTCGGGTTCTCCGGAGGTAATGCTGCTGCTACTCCAGCGTCTGGGGTTGGGACTAGACCAGTTGTAGAGTTATGGATAGATGCCTCAACGGAGGCAGCCTCAGCCTCTGCATCTCTTGCTCTAACGAGAGCTTGGAATTCTCGCTCTCCTGCATCTCGGTAGAGTTTCAATTGCTGTTTTAATGGTCCATCAGTTGTGTTGGACGAGTCAGACATCTAGTGCTATCAGATCTATAGGGGCCTCCACAGTTCCTGCATTTAGTCAGAGCTTGACATGAATCTTCGGTATGCATAGTTGAGCCAAATTTCCCACAAGATGGTGCCCTGGAGCAGTTCTTTGAAGGATGGTGGCCGCTGCATCGCTTACAGAACTCAAGGGGCTCTTGCTTCTTGAATGGCCTGGCGAGACCAGATTCATCAAAGACTCTGAAGCCGGGTTGAGGCGATTTGGAGAAGAAAGCCATCCAGGTTCTGTAAGGTGTGGAGGGGTTATTCTGTCCGAAAAGTTTCACTGCAGAGGGCCTCATGTTAGTTATCCTCTCGATCTTAACAGTGAGCATAGACTCATTTACTTCAACTCATCACTCAAGCGTTTGAATAGCTACCGGGACAGTTGGAATAATGATAGGTATTCAGTTCGTCGCTGATTCGAGCTTTGCCCCAGATAAGAAGAGCCCATTTTCGGCTTTTATGAGTTCTTCTCGCGCCTCGTTGCTACAAGGAGTTATAGCAGACCATGAGTTCACCGCTTTGATCCTACCAATAAGTGATGGCGATACCGAGAGTCGCTTCACCACTACCTCCCGGATACCAGCAGGTGATAGTCTTCGCCACTCATGATCGCGTGGTAGGCGAGTAAATAACATTTTATAAGGGCTGATAGGGGGTTTAGCCTTTCCAGTAATTGCTTGATTGCGAGTAGTAGGCCAAGGTCTGGTGAGCTCTTTTTTAGCTACTTGCTTGGGTGTCGTCGTGATTGGCAGTGACTCACTTGAAGCAGTGGCACGAGCTTTCTTGTGGCCGTTGCGTGTGACTGTCGCCCAAGAAAGCTTGGTATTGACCGGCTTGCTAGGTAGTTGAGGAGGTTCCTTAGAGGGTCTAATTGTTTTAGTTGACGCTGTAGTGCCAACCTTATTTGTTTGATCCTTATCCTTGCCTTATGCCCTGTTAGAAACTGGTGGAGAGTCCGAGGAGATGGGAGGTGGGGGGGGCAGCCTCTGAGGCTGCGTATTTTGAAATGGCCTTGCAGAGGTGATCGCGGATTGCCGTAGCCTCATCCTTTTCGATATCCTTCATAAAGCCTGAGAGAGCTCTCTCGATACTGCTATTGCGCAGGTACACATCATTATGCGAGCGTGCCATGCAAGTTCACGATGCTGTCGTTCTTCGATAATTTGGGCGAGTTCTCTTGGGAGAAATTCGTTCGCATCGTTCACACTTTCTGTCGTTGTTTCGTGGCAGCATTTGGGAATTGCGCGTTTAGAGGGAGGGACGGGCTGAAGGGTTGGCCTGTCAGTCACTACCACGTCGTGTTGAGGTAGGATAGGTTGAGAAGGAGGTGTCGCAGAGTGGGAGATTGGTGAAGTTTTTGTTTTGTTTTGTTCATTTACGTGCTAGGTATAGTGATTCCCGTTGCACTCCTACTGGAGCTTAAGCACGGGTGGGGCTTGGCTGGATCAGGTTAACTACCGTGAAGTAAAAGTGCCTCGTCTCACCTAAATGACCGGACCACCTCAGACTTCACCCATGTGTTGAATCATGTCAAGCCCGACCGTCCAGAGAACCCCCTTTGGCGCGCCGAAGCGCAAATTCCTCCTCAGCCTTGGCCACCACGCGCCCGAGCCCTTGACGCCCTCGCCATTTGTAACTTTTCCCTTTGTTTGATTCCCAGCTTTGGCTCATCTCAGCATCTCCTCATCTCATCTAGAGGTCGTTTTCATCATTGGAGGCCTCATCCAGTCGCCCACCAAGGCCTCCTCAGTTTATATCCCCTTTTAGTTTCTTTATACAGCATCCCTCTGTCTTTCAGCCGATCTAGTCGTCCCAGAAACTTTGTTGAATGTCCACCCCTCCGGCCTTGCCCCGTCGCTGCCATACCCCTAACCGTGGAGGTCGAAAACGCGGCTTAGAGCTCAAGATCGAGGCACCGGTGTCTCAGCCTTTGTCGAATGCTCTAGTTAGTGTGACGGCGAAATGTCGTACATTTTCGTCGGTGGCAATTCGTCGCAGGTCGAGTTGTTGGTGCCCTTGGCCGAGGTGAGGACGCATTTAAGGCCAGTATTTCGACCGTACCTTCACAGCGGCTGGCAGTTGCGGAGGGTCGGAAATCCTCTTGCTTCTTAGTTGGCGATTTGACCTTTGGAGGTATGGGATTGCTTAGGTAGGTGATGAGATAATTGTGGAGAGGGCCGCGAGATGAGTTTGGCTGAGAATGAATTTCCAGAGAAAAAGAAAATAAGATGTTGAAGGTGTCGGTTGCTGTGATACAAACATCAGACATGTTATAGGCTGTCTGAGGTCCGTATCTGGGGTGTAGATGGTTGATTTCGTTTAGTTATGCAGTCATGAAATCTCTGCAAGTCGGATTTTCGACCAAAATTGAGCCAACACCACTCCTCCCGATCGCCAACTTGACGAAAACTCTCAAAATCACCCTTTGTCGTGACTGAATCTCAGCTCTGGGAGAATATTTCACTCCCAGTTCCGTAGAGGACACTATAGACAGGTGTTCAGCTTTCGTCCTCCGGAAATGGGTGGAGTGTTGGATAGGATGCTAAAAGGACAGGAGCCCCTTTCCATCATAGGGGCATGATCTTCGTTGCTGAAGTCTATTACTGCCAACGCAAAATGTGTTATGTTATGTTGTGTTATGTTATGCTAATATTTGTACGAATGTTTCTATTTAAGGCCAGAATGAATAAAGCGACTTGATACAGCTCAGGATTACACTGAAAAAGTTTGGATTTGTTTGTTGACACTTATTTATTTATCTTTATTTAACGTCTGGCGGATCACGCGTCAAGCGAGTAACCCTATTAAGTCCCTACTGAGACAAAAGACGCTTTGTTGACACTTATATCTTACTAATACTGATATCCCAAAGTGAAAAGGCGAAATATTCACGTGATATAGTTGAAATCATGGAGACGACATTCATCACCATCACGAAACACTATCTTCCCAATCCAATTTGGATTACAGAAATATACCCTTGCTTACTACTTACTGAAAAATTCTTCGGAAAACAAATATTGGCATGAGTGTTCATGCGTCACCCGTCTTTCTTTTTAATATCTCAATCAAACGAAGACAGTGCTGGTATTTCTCCCATATCCACGCGTCAGGTTTGACCTGCTCCCCAGTACAATTAGATTCAAGATAATCTGGTTATGATTCAAGTAAAATAGCATGCAGAATTTAAACAAACTCTGCGCTTGCGCCGCCATCACAGCGACGCGAACGACACCCATAAATCTGTCCATAAATAATTTCATCTTTCGAAAAAACAACACTGATCCCAGACAACTTTCAAGAATATTATGCTACACTACATCAAAATGGAAAGGACTGTAAGTGTGAACCCAGCTCAGATTCTTGGGTTACATCCAAAAATCGAGGCTGCTAATTCAATAGTCAGTCATGGGAAACCCAATAAAACCGAAAAAAACCCTTTAGGCCCTCTCGTCCCAAAATCTCAGACTAATACTGGCACTAAGAGGTACATATTAAATAAATATTATGTAAAATCACATGACCTAAGATGTCGAATAGACACTCAGGCCGGATCAGATGTTGGCTGACATTTGTTATTTTTAAAACAGAAGTGTTCCTTCAATTAAAGCCCGGCTTTTTCCTCCTCTGACTCCTAGTCAACGACATGAAAATATTTATACCATTCCCAACTTACTTACCTTCTCTCGCTTATTTTCTGCCCCTGTTATCGGCTATCTAATACTCAACGACCACCACGTTTGGGCTTTAGGTCTCTTTGGGTATGCAGGACTGACAGATCTACTGGACGGATGGATTGCTCGGAGATGGAATCTTCAGACAATCGTCGGCACAATTATTGATCCTATGGCCGACAAATCCCTCATGACTATTCTCACAGTGTGTCTAGCTATGAAGGGAACACTTCCTGGTATGAACTAGTCCTAGAAATAGTCAGAATTTGTTGATGACAGATTTTGGTTTTAGTGTGGCTCGCAACCATCATATTAGGAAGGGATGTAGGATTGGCGATAATGGCAATTTACTACAGGTGGATTTCTCTACCACCTCCTAAAACTTTGGCTAGATACTGGGACTTTTCTCTTCCTTCAGCTGAAGTTCGTCCAACTCAAATCAGTAAATACAATACAGCACTTCAACTTGCTTTAATAGGTGCGACGACCACCATCCCTTTAGTTACAGCTGACATCAGCATGGCCATGACAACTATGCAGTAAGTCTCTATTTATTTTAATTTAAATAAACCTATTGGAGAACAAAAACTAATTTCTCTCTCGCTTGGGCTCAAAAGATATCTTGTCGCTACCACAACTATCTGGAGTGGTGCTAGCTACATCTACTCTAGAGATGCCGTCAAAATCTTGACTTCTACTAGTAAATTAAAGGAGATCCCAAAAAAAGAAGATAGAGAAGAAAGATAAGTAAATTTAATCAATAAATCTCATTTATAAGTTCTCCAAGCCCAAGAGACCAGATATTATGAATTGATTTGGAACGATAAAAGAGAGTTCTATCTTCAGTATTCTATTAAATATTCATAGTGTCCGTTGGTCTAAATTTACGTAAACGCGAGGTTAGTTCAATGCAAAACGAAAGGTATAAAATTAAGGTATGTATTATGTCTCCAGTACCTATCTAAGAACGTTATGAAGCTAGGGTTCGATGTATTAGCTGAGTCTTCAAGACAATGACTCAGCAACGGAGGTGCAATGCACTTAGTGCACACCAGAAGAAATACTTTCCAACACATAGAGTTTTATTTCAATCGAAAACAAACTTTCTCTCAACATCCAGGGTGAGAAAAAGATTTACCTTCGATTTAATATCCCCTCAACCCACAACTTCAGCCAAGTGCAATTGAACTTCTTACAGTCTAGCGAAGACAGCCATTCACCGTGCAAAATTACAAAATACCTAAACACTATATTTATACTAAGGTTTCGCATACTCATTTCTCTCATTGTATAAAATCTAAATAATTACATTATCTGTCGATCGGTTTCAACGAACGTTCACCTTGGGTTATTGCAATGAAAAAAGAAAGGTTCCAGAATGAAGTGTGTAATGTCAATATCTTTCTAAGAACATTGGGACTATGTAGTTCGTGGTATTAGCTGAGTCATCATGAAAATGATTCAGCAGCGGAGAAATGTACCGCACGTAGCGCATAGCAAATAAAAATACTTCCCAACATTAATATCATTAATTTCAATGGAAACCTTAGTTCCTCACAATAATGTTGATCAATCTCGCAAGACTCAACCCTCCAATAACCAACATTTCTGCCAACCTCAATCCGATATCATAATTTTATCAGACAGAACGATACTCGGTGGTATAATAAAAAGCAATATAAAATAAATTTGAACTCTTAAAGATTCCAGCTAAACTATGTAATGACTCACCCAGGGCCTGTTTTTCAATATCAGGTATTTTTTGACGTTTCATCTATGTATACGAATATACAGTTTGGATTGATCTCGATTTCCTGGTCCAATTTTCTATTTGCTAAAGAAAATCTGTTAGAAGTTGTACAGCATCAGCCTATATCAGATGATTAAAAGGTTTATTAAATATTTTGGCCATGCAGAGAATATGGTAGCTGTAAATTTAAAAGTAGATACGTTCTATCTAAGAAGGAAGTTTAAAGTTGTAATTTCAACTTAGATAATATAAATGCCTCGATAATTACATCAAATTTTAAAAAATTAACTCCATATGTTTTAATATATGAAGCTCCAGCCTCGCTATATCAGCGATGGAAAATAATCCCAAGATACAACGTCATGTTAGAAAGACTTGTGAGGTCATATTGCAGGGAATGGGGCGCAACGAATTCCACAAGACACTGATATAGCCTTGAAGAGAGCTAAGAAATTGGACGCACAAAAGGATAATTTCGGAGGTAATTATCGCCTGTTCAAAACATGTTACCATAGCGGAGCTAACAGGCTTCGGAGGGGGGACTTATCTCAACACCTGTCAGTGGCGTCCCCTAAGAACCTCCAGCTCTCACTGTAGAGTCTGCAGAGCCGAGATTGAGTAACACTGTCCTCACTTCGACGAGGATCCCAAATCGCTTTCGCCGTCTGTATCGTCTTCATTTGTAACGGCTGGTAAGCCGATTGGTTCCTGTAGCGCATGTTGGCCAACATGAGCCTAGCCTGACATTGGTAGCGCACGATTGATCGACATCAATGCGCGGATATATGATGCCACTCAACAGAATATCAAGGCATTGACATCTAGTTTGGCAGGGCAGCAGTATTGGACCATACAGCTACAACACATTGAGATGTTACAACAAGTAGGGTCAACACATGTGAAGAATCCCATTGGAACCGAGAGAGAGGGACTGTGCCTCAAACACATAGACCATGTATATATATGTATAGAAAGAGACTGAAGTAATTTTCTCTTCAGAATAATAATTTACATACTATCGACCACATAGTTGCACCAGCGCCTGTTCCTTGATCCGTGACATCATCTCTCAACACATTCCCCTCTCACCATTATCATGAAGCTAACCACGATCAGATCAGATGGTAGGGGTGGAGCCCTACTCATCACCAACCCTTGATCATGGAGGAAAAGCCATCCGATGAGTTTCCGGAGCGTACCCAGCACCCGATACGGAGATTTTGGATTGGATCAAGTCGGCCTCGAATGTTACAAGGAAGGGAGATGTAGACGGATGTGCGCACCTCATGTGGTCTCGATGTCTAGACCTCGCCTGGCTGGGGCTGCAGGATTTTTGAGACGTTCTCCCGCGCACGCAGTTTCCATTGCTACCATTTTTATTTTTTTGGGTAGGAGGTTCCGTGGAAAAGGTGATCGAATTTCACGGATAGACACTGAGCTGAATGGCTATTCATCAAGGGCAATAAATCAATGATCTTCCACGAAACATGAGAGGCAAGGTGCACAGTACAAGGTGTGGCCTGGGTTAGAAAGGAGCCCAAGTGCTAGATAGTCATAGACTCAAGTAGTACAATAAATACACACACAGGCTTCGGAGTTCCTAACTTCGAAAAACAAGTTTTAGGGGGCAGCGTCCCTTTCCGAGGTCTCATCGGTTTCAATATCATAGAGCGGAAACTAGCTGGTAATTAAGGAAACATAGCGAGTCTTTGCCCAGAATTGCCATTGGAAAAATTGCAGAGTTATCTAGCGAACTTCTATGTTCGGAGTCCATGTGACTCTGAATACCCGGCTCACCATGCCTATCAACCATCTAAGGAGAGAAACCGACATCCTACTAGCACACATTCTCCATGAAGAATTTAGACTCAAGACTGCCACACGTATGCGCCGACTAGGTACCTACTGTCTTCTCAATTCCTCTCTATGGAAATAACTAAGGGCGCTTGCCATCACCTTGGACTTAAGATATGCAACAAAAGCGGACTTGATCCTGAACGAGGTCACTATTCAAGGGTTCAAAAGATTCTTCGACTTTTGCCCGAGGCGGAACTACCTCTACCTCTTCAATACCAGATAACCACTTAGCTGAAACCTTAATCGAAAAGCATTAAAGAGGCGTTGTTTTTCATGAGACAGTAGCTACCCATACTCCCACCTGACTGTCTCTTCGCTCATAGCGATGGGTCTATGGCATCCACCGACAGAGTCTTATAGGCTTTTGCGGTCTTAATCAATGGCACCGGCACGGTAATTGAATAAAGTGACTCAGGAAAAATCATGAATACTGATATTTATGACTTGGAGGTTTATGAAACCATGGCTGGTCTCGAAGCAGTCACAAATAGAAACCGAGATCGAGATCGCAGTCCCACGTATTTTCTGCTCGATAATATCGCTGAAACCCAGTAACTTTTTGTTGAAATTGGCCCTATATGGCAATGAGGAGTCGCATGAATACGGAACGTAATAAGGTTCTATTATTACTGGCCACATTCATGACGACTTATACATTGATCAGCCTCCCAATTATTAAGCATAAACAAGTGAATCGTGTCCTTCACTTAGATGTAGTAATTAGATTAAATAGCGCTCTGATACTAAGAGGGTTTAATCAACAACTCTCCACTATAATTTTCAGACTCTTCAATCTCCCAACTTGCTTCACTAGGTGATATTAAATACAAGCCTAACAGCTTACGCTTCTCTATACAACTTCCATTACAACACTTTTGACGGGAATAACAGTTCTATCATACTTGAGGGTCCGAAATTTCTTGAGGGTTTCTGTAAGATCACCAATGCCCGTAAGTGTAGGATGAATTCCAGGCCACTTAGGGCTAGTAGGAATCGAAAAGGTGGATAGGCTCCCTCGAATCAAGCTCAACTTGCTGGGTAACACTGGGTTATAGCGTGATCAAATAACACCCGCCTCACCAGGACGGAAAGCTTATAAACTGTGAGAAATTTTGACTCTCGAATTTAGAACTCAACCATTATCTGATTCGTCTCAGGTTCCCGACAACATCATCTCTCTCTACGCATGTCCCGAAAGCGCTAATCGCACCGTCTGTTGCATATATGTTTGGGTATTCACGTACTACAGTGTACCTTAGCTCATCATGGTAGATAAGAGAAGGCTGTATTGAAATATATAACCCACTACTTGGTTCGTGGACTTGTTGGTATAGGCAAGCTCATTTTTTTGAATCATATTGTATTCAGCTATCTAGCTATGACAATAAAATATCTATTTATTTTTAGACTGCAGACTGACACTAGATGACGTCCAAATTTACTTCTCCATATGTCTTTATATCCATTATTTATGTGCCTATATCATCTCCTTTGTATGCTGAAATACACTTGGAAGTTTTCAAAACGTCTAGAAGGTCTTCCTTCCCCCTTTTGGTTCTCAATAAAATTTATAATGAAAGAGGCTTTATGTTAGCAAAGGCTACTTCCCTTTGCTTGAAATATCTGGTACAGTGAAGAATTAAATGTTTTGCGTTCTGCTTTTTAGCCTTGCAAAAGTTGCAACTTTTATCTTTAGCTTTCCAATTATATTCAGGTAAGCCCTGGTATTTCCAATCCCAGTTCTTGCCTGAAAAAATGCTGATTCAAAAATCCTACCATGATTTCGAAAGATAAATGATTGTAGAGAAAAAGTGGGTATATGCATCTGGGCTTGGATTCTGTAGAACTTGTCAAGTCCCCTACACCTTCTACCCTCCTCTTCTCAGAGGACTTCTGTTAGCCAGTCAAAATGACAAGCATTTAAAACATATTCAGTTGTTTTCTGCTTCAGAAAAGAACGAGATGTAAATTTGTCATATCTTCAAGCTGACTTCTTTGCTGATCCTCTTGCGAGTGAGTCAGCAAGTTCATTACCCTCAATTCCCACATGAGCTGGACACCAGGTCATTCTCAGACTGCTGCCTTTGGCTAGATTCCGAATTCGGTGTGAAATGTAGTTTGTCTTCCCCTGTATTCTCTG